CATTCACTTGGAGTAACTCAAGAAGACGGTTGGGAGTGTCGATCAAATCCCATTATTCACTGGGAGTAACTCAAGAAGACGGTTGGGAGTGTCAATCAAATCCCATTATTCACTTGGAGTAATTCAAGAAGACGGTTGGGAGTGTCGATCAAATCCCATTATTCACTTGGAGTAACTCAAGAAGACGGTTAGGAGTGTCGATTAACTGCCTTCCCTTTAGTTGATCAGTTCAAAACTGAGGACGGGTACCGCAGAATACTCTTGTGTAGTTTTGCACAAATATCTCAAAAAAAGAAACTCAAGAAACAACAAGAAACCCACGTTAGCTAATATCACATGTTAGATATAACTCTAAGAACCATCCAGAGAAAGTTGAAAAGAAAATTGACTATATGCGGATCAATAACCGAAATCTGGGAATATGTTTTCCCAAATCTCCCAAAACATCTTGCAAAGCTGCTAATAAGTGTTCAAATTCATGATTTTAACTTAAATAATAGGCATCTATAGAAGTAACGCCATACATACTTTGTGTAGAGATATATACATAAACAGTATCAAGAAATGAATACGTAAATAAGTCTTGCCTCGAATAAATCAATAGTGACATAATTTAAAATTTTATGGTCCTTGACATTGAATTTTATTACCCTTGCCTTTGAAACAAAGGTAAAAAACAAAAAAATAAACATATATAGTAATTTGTTTGTTTTAGCGCAAAGTTGCACTATAGTGTACCTAAACTGTGTCTGTTGCGAGAATCAAGCCTCGAATTTTAGCGTTATATGCTCTCAAGTTTGCGACTGAGCCACAAGCGTAGGAGGAGAGAAAAATGCACTTTATAAAACCCTTTCTAAATCTTATTTATATATGTTAATTAAGGACTTACAACGCTAAAATCCAGGGCTCGATTCCACGCGGTGGTCACATCAGATAACCCAATTTAGCTTTGCTTTAAAACACCCACACACAAAAAAAAAACGAAGTTAAATAAAACTACATATATTTGAAATAATTTTATCATCAAATATGACTTGTTAATTTTGTAATTATGTTGGTATCGCTAATGCTTCTTTGATACTTGAAAATTGGAAATAGTTGTTATTTTGAGCAAATACAATGAAATTTATCAACGATCATTAGCAGTTACCACAGTTGTTAGTTAATGTACTGTTCTCTTGAAAATAGAAAACAAATAGGCTTAGCATGTATATTAAAACCTTCGAGTACACGTTTCGTTTGTTCACGAAAATAGTTAATTGGTGTTAATAGTGTATAACTGTGTTTTGCCAACGCAAAGCAAACAGCTGTAATTTAGGAAAGATGCAGTTAATCCGCTATTACGAAACTGAAAATAGATTAACTCTTTTAACTTATTCCTTCGCTAGAAATTGGTGGAAAAGAAACAGTGCTACTAAATTTCTTTATGCATCTAATATTTTACGCGGTATTCTATATCATTTCAACTGGAAAAACGCGTGTCTAGTGTCGAACGTAACTAAAAGTGGTTGTCATATACTAAGCTATATTTACATTGACGGTTTCATAAAGGTATGTCAGCGTAGGTTAAAAAGAGTTAGGCCCAGCATGGCCAGGTGGTTAGGGTGCTTGACTCGCAATCTGAGGGTCGCGGGTTCGAATCCCCGTCCCACCAAACATGCTCGCCCTTCCAGCCGTGGAAGGGTTATCATGTGACGATCAATCCCACTATTTGTTAGTAAAAGAGTAGCCCAATAGTTGGCGGTGGGTGATGATGACTAGCTGCCTTCCCTCTAGTATTTCACTACTAAATTAGGGACGGCTAGCGCAGATAGCCCTCGTGTAGCTTTGTGCGAAATTCAAAAACAAACAAACAATCAGTTTGGGTTATTTTTTCAGTCCCCCTCCCGGTAGATCAGTGGTAGACTCACGGACTTACAACGCTAAAGTCCGGGGTTCGATTCCTCGTGGTGAATAGAGCGCAGGTAGCCTATTATGTAGCTTTGTGCTAAAACAAACAGACAAACTTTATTTCGAGATAATTATCCTTGAACATACTGCATAAAGCTAAACACTTTTACTTCAACTATTGATTATGATTTCGCTTCTTACAGTTCGTAATATAGTTTCGAAAAACAAACATGCATCTTGTTCTAAGTTTATTGGGTTAAATGTCATAGACTACAAAGGTTTAGATGATGATGAACACTGCAGACTGTGTATTTGATACCGGATTTGTTTGTAGTTTTAAGATGTCATTACATACTCCATATTGTTAGTGGCAGACACTGCAGACCCTTTAGATACTCATTAGCATACAGCTTAAAACTACAAACAAATCCGGTATCAAATACAGACATGCCACTAACAATATGGAGTATGTAATAGACACTGCAGACCCTTTAGATACTCAGTAGCATACAGCTTAAAACTACAAACAAATCCGGTATCAAATACAGACAATTCGTTAACAATGTTGAGTGTGTAATTGGCTGGTTTTAAACAAACTTGCTATGAGAGGTAAGGTGGGTGCTTCGAATGACTTCTATGTGGGATCAATAACAAGCGTATATACGCACGTGCTTCAAACTCTTCATAACGAATCCGAATACAGAGCTCATATTCTATCACTTAATGTTTTAGGGTTATTCGAATCGATTTATCTGAACTAATGGGTCAGTTTTTGAGCCAGAATACATTTAAATTTCATGTTTTGTTCTTTTTGATTTACCATCAGTATTGCACTGGGAAAAAGATCAACGTTATGCTTACTACTATAAAGACTTACTTGTAACAAAATCTTGAATCCCAAAATAATAACTCACTCCATCTGTTAACTTCCCATCAGCATTCTTTTCTCGTTAGTTCATTACATGGAGACTGTGATATCAATTTTCCTATTACAGCCTGCCCATTAATAACTTTTATTACATTTAATAAAAAACCTCTCTCGCCAACTCCATGGTTCTCGTGAGATGAGATATTCCCACCTCATGAGGCGTGACGGTCATGTGAGTTGATGACGACAGCATCATCTATCATGAACATTTACCATGGTTGTCAGCAAATGCCTGTTCTATTGAAAAATAAAAAAACAAAAAGGCTTAGCGTGTATATTAAAACCTACAAGCACACGTTTAGTTAGTTTATGAAAAAATAAATAAATACCATAGAAAAACCGTGCGTATAAAAGTGGTAGAAACATGTAACTATGGCACTCCACGTAAAGCTGACAAAAATATAACACAAAACACTCCACATTAAGCTATTTGAATCATAACAATCCCAAGTAAAGCTCGTAGAAACGTAATTATAGCACTTCACGTAAAGCTGACAAAAACATAACATAAAAAACACTCCAAGTAAAGTTAATAGAAGCATAACATCATAATATCCCACATAAAACTGATAGACATATAATACCACACGTAAAGCTCATGGAAACATAACATAACCCCTCGCGTAAAGCTCATAGAAGCATAACATCTCACGTGAAGCTAATAGAAACATAATACCAAACGTAAAGCTGATAGAAAACATGACATAAAAACACCCTACGTAAAGCTGATAGAAACATAACATCCCACGTAAAACTGATAGAAACATTACGCGTTTTGTTTCCATTTCAGGTTTTAAAAGAAACATTTGATGTTATGTAGGACTGTTAAAACAGCAGAGTATCTTAGCTTTTTGGTGGAGAACCTCAATTCATAATGTCCTTAACCCTAGCATCTCCAACTGATACAAAGACCGTTAAACACATTTTTATAGACTATCAATGCACCAAATTATTCGTGAGCCCGTTATTTCATTGGTTAGACGGTTCCTAATACTGCAGTAATTCTACTAAACTAATTACTACTGAGATGCCCTATGTATTTTACATAGAAAATGATAGATCACACAGCTACTTATGTATTTTACATAGAAAATGATAGATCACACAGTTGCTTTTGTATTTTACATAGAAAGTGATAGATCACACAGCTACTTACGTATTTTACATAGAAAATGATAGATCACACAGCTACTTTCGTATTTTACATAGAAAATGATAGATTGTACAGCTAATTATGTATTTTACATAGAAAATGATAGATCACACAGCTGCTTATGTATTTTACATAGAAAATGATAGATCACACAGCTGCTTATGTATTTTACATAGAAAATGATAGATCACACAGCTACTTACGTATTTTACATAGAAAATGATAGTTCACACAGCTACTTACGTATTTTACATAGAAAATGATAGATTACACAGCTGCTTATGTATTTACATAGAAATGATAGATCCCACAGCTACTTTCGTATTTTACATAGAAAATGATAGATTGTACAGCTAATTATGTATTTACATAGAAAATGATACATCACACAGCTGCTTATGTATTTTACATAGAAAATGATAGTTCGCACAGCTACTTACGGTGAGTGTTATAAAGATAGGCATATAAAATTGTTCATTATGATGTACAATGTGAACGCCAGCGATGGTGAGGATTGAAATACAACTCTAAAATAATGATAATAAATATTATTAGCTGTAGCGGTGGGAGGGACAGGATATTTTCCTAGTGGTTATCAAGGAACTCCAATTTCTAGTCAAAATCACTGACATGTGCAAAGTTATCCAAGGTATTAAGCAATGTTAAATGCGCCTGTCTAAACCTTCAAGGCCTGGCAAGGCCAGGTGGTTAGGGCGCTTGAGTTGCAATCTGAGGGTTGCGTGTTCGAATCCCCTTCCCAACAAACATGCTCGCCCTTTCAGCAGTGGGGGCGTTATAATGTGACGATCAATCCCACTATTTGTTGGTAAAAGTGTATCCCAAGAGTTGGCGGTGGGTGGTGATGACTAGCTGCCTTCCCTCTAGTCTTTCACTGTTAAATTAGGGACGGCTAGCGCAGATAGCTCTCGTTTAGCTTTGCGCGAAATTTAAAACAAACTCAACTGATCCTTCATATACCTGCTGAAATATATTTTTTTAGAAACGTCCCTGACCACAGTATTTTGTTGTTGTTTCGTTTGTAGTTAGCACTTAGGATGTAACATTTATTTATGAACAAATTATGAACACCTCACTAATGGCCAGTCCACGTATGAAATGATTATTTGGAAAACTGCAAGAAATTTATGATATCTCTCTGATAACGACGAAAAGACGTTAAATAAAAATTCCGTACACTATGCGAGTTAGTTCTTCAATGTATTTTTGCTTCTTTTACACTTCGTTATGAATGGTCGTAAACTTTTAATGCTGTTGTGTAAGTGCGAAAAATAATATTTTAAATGAATTACTGATCAGTATTACATTATAATAATTGAATGAACAAATTAAACAGTCACGAACTACCTAATATCACACGATGGCCTTACGAGTTTTTACGAAGTACAGTTCTCGGGATTTTATTATTCCATAAGTCATTTGAGTGAAAAATGTAAAACGTAATGGTATTCGTGGTTCTCTAGTGTTGAATAATTGAAACTAAAGATGCTTTAATACCTAAAAGTGCTTTTAGCTTGGACTAGGTAATAGATTATTCCCAAAGCCTATGTTTTTAACGCCCAAGTCCATTACCAACGAACTCTTTTCCCTTTTTTTCTGTCTTTATTAGGTAACAAACATTTTTCTATAGGACAGCGCTCAGATATAAATGCTAAACAAATTAGGTCTCTAAGGATACGTTTAGCCCGTTAATAACCCATACTGTTTCTAAAGAGAGAAGATTGGCAACAAGCTTTGAAATTATATTTCATATCCGTCTACTCCTTCATCCGTGCTAACAGAGGCAGCTTGTAAAAATGTATTCGAATTGAGCTTTTCCCATTTTGTTTTTGCGCTCGTTATTAACACACCCGCTCCTTCTCTCTCGCGCACACACACGCACGCAGTTGTATACAGGCGTGTATGCTCGTACGTACATATCATTCTATGTACCCATTCAATATACTTATGAACTGCAGTACTTGTAATACGTACTTATGGAATGTTTAAATATATATGTATATATATAGTGTGCTAACATTAGATGCACTTTATTAAATATGTGAAATTCTTTTGAATATATACAAATAATGCTGATCTACATGGTATGTATATGATAACAGTTCGCATTTTCAGTCGAGTAGTTTATCCGGGTGAAGAAAACAATCTTGACGATAAAGAAAGCCAAACTTTTGAAAAAAAAAATGTGTTTTAGAATATTCAGTTAACTGTAAATATCACTGGTGAACGACAACTGTAATTTCTGAAATGTAAATACCGATGTACATCTGGAAATTAAGAGAAGTTCAACATTTACGTTCGTTTGGAAATAAAGATTGAGGTAGGCATTCAATGGGTGTATCCCCTCCCCCGTGGCACAGCTGTATGTCTGCGAGTTACAACGCTAAAAACCGGGTTTCGATATCCGTGGTGGGCAGAGCACAGATAGCCCTTTGTGTAGCTTTGTGCTAAACTTCAAACGACAACATCATTGGATGTATTTGTTGAAATTTTAGTAAGTCCTGGCTAACGAAGAGAAATGCATTAATATAATGATTAAAGTTCAATCTGAGGGTTCGTGGTTCGCTGCCCGTTGCTGCAAAAACACGTTCCGTACTTTGAGGTCGTGGGTGCGTTATAGGATGACGGTCAAATTCCATTATTCGACCAAAAAGTTGGCGAACAGTTAGTTGGTGGTGGTCGGTGACGTTGACCAGCTGTCTCCTGCTGTAATCTATCAGTTCAAAATAAATCTTTGTGTAGCTTTTCGTAGAAATTCTGAAAAAAATATCAAAAGATAATTGTAATAAATAATAACCGTTTCTCCTCTCGGGTTCCGTACATCGATTTGAAGAATTTCATTAATTGTTTTTTGTTTTGCCTTGATGAAGAATACTTCAGATAACTCAGAAGTAAAACAAATATTTCATAATTATAACGATCTTGAAGAGTCAATAAATCTTTTTATATAAAATATAAGCAATTGTTAACTAAAGCAAGTTTATTAAAAATGTAAAAACACGTATATTACAATTTTTTCTTCCTCCGTATGCCAACGTAAAACTAGCATCTTCGGGCATTATATCTCACAATTCATAATTCCCCGTCTAGAAAAATCCCGTATATTCTGAATATGATTATATAAGAATCAGGATACAAGTATCTCATAACACGTTGTTTTACATGAAACACTCTCCAATTATTTATACACTCTACTACTTACTACAACTCCCCGAAGAAAAACATTGCCTTGCAAGAGGGAAATCTATTTTTCCCTGACTCAGAATTGTTCTAGGCAAAAGAAAAAACAACAACTAAGGCTTAACATGAAAATAATATATATATATGTATGTATGTTAAAAAAATACTAAAATCTGTGTAGTATTTTAACCTATTTTTATTATGGATTTTTAAAGATTGCTTAAAGGCGAGCATTGTTTGTGTCGACACCCGAGAACTCAGCAAAAAATATAAAAATATACAGAATTTTAAATTTAGTTGATCTTTCAGCTACAATTGGTAACCTTTAAGTTGGTTTTGAGACTGCAGATATATGGTTGTAAACAACTGGGACCAAGGTTAACACTGTTTTGTTGATACACGTTACTGATAAAAAAAAAAAAAAAAGTAGTGCATACATTTCGATATACAGTGAACGAGCGCCATCTATGACAATATTCTACAACTAATCTTGGTCCAAAACTAAATTAATAGAAAAGTGTTTGATTCAGTCTAAAGATCGAAACATGATAGTTACAAGAAGATCAGTATTTGTTTATAAACAAGAATTGTAAGCAATAAATATCATTCATTGTCAGACTTTCTCCCATCCACCTCCAGACAAACATCTCCAGCTTATAACAAGTGTTTCTTCTCAAAAAGATGAAAGATGATTTCCTTATTTACAGATCGAAGTTCAATGTATGATTTATATCCATTCTCTATAAGGTAATTAATTTTAAGTATATATTTCCAAACTCTCATTCACCAATTATGTCTGATATGACGTAATCCAGAAACCTTTCTCCTTTGAAGCATTTAATACGAGCATTTCTCAAGTTGAAAAAAAAACAAAAAACGATTTATCCCAAAAGAGCTTTGTTTAGCTAAATAACTACTTATAATACAACCTCAACTCTCTCTCTCTCGTCCTAATTTTCAGAAACGCTCACTAGACA